TTTAGTATTCATGTTCTTCAAAAAGAAACCCAGAATTTCCAGACTCCGTTTCCCTAAATGTGGTCATCGGGACCATACCTCGGCCAAGACCTGGTTGGTATCCAGCATGTTTTCCCGAGATAAGAAATAGTGTTTTAACTCCCAGCATGTGTTTTGCTTTGTCTTAACTGAGTTTTAAAAGAAATGCCGAGATCATTTATACTCATGCAAAGCTTGTTTTAGAAATGCATTTCATATCCATCTTTGAGCATCTCTTCTTGTCTTCTTGAAATGCATTCAATGGGATTTATTATATACTTGTTGGCCTTGGATCCTTGCTTGTAATCTCCACACCCGAAGAGCTATGTGAGTGGTATTTTTAATAAAGTTATGTTATAAAGTTTTGATAAAGCTTTGCTTCGTTTTGGAAAAGTATTTGATCAAGCATAAATGATTATCCTCTAATTTTTGTATCAAGTATTACGTTTGTTTTGATGACATTCTTGAAAAGTCTTTAGTGTTAGGGGACTATAATGCGACTAGCACGTTTATCTTGGAAAGTCCTTAGTGTTAGGGGACTATAATGCAACTAACACCCTTATTTGAGATATCTCATTTGTCTTGCCATCGACGGTTTACCGCGTGGGTTTGTCCGGAATGTCATCCCTTGTATTATGTAGATGCTAGTAAGCATCCCTTGAAGATTTGAAAGACTTGATAGATGAACTTGATTCATCCCATGTTTGTACAAGTTATGCTATGTATCGCTTTAATAAAGATCTTGGATATCATTCATTCAAACCTTTATTACTAATATCATTCACTGAGTATCTAAGCTCACCCTCTCCTTATATATGTGTAGGTGACGAGCAAGAAGGCGGTGAAGATGCTAGTAAGCATCCCTTGAAGATTTGAAAGACTTGATAGATGAACTTGATTCATCCCATGTTTGTACAAGTTATGCTATGTATCGTTTTAATAAAGATCTTGGATATCATTCATTCAAACCTTTATTACTAATATCATTCACTGAGTATCTAAGTTCACCCTCTCCTTATATATATGTAGGTGACGAGCAAGAAGGCGGTGACGCCTAGATGATTATTTGCAAGATGTTTTTGGATTCATATTTTGTAGGATCTTGAAGATTATGCTTCTTGGCTTGGTAGTTTATTTCTTTTGTATATGTGGGTTTGAGAAGCCTCTTGATCAAGATGTAACATGTATCTTATTTTATTTGTATCCAGGTTGTAAGTCATGTTAAGTTGTATGTCATTTCATTTGATCTATGCACAGCTCTTATGGACTATTTAGATTTAAATTTATTGCTTTCGCACATGTAAGCCCTATATGTATACTCTGATTGTGTGTGACTTTGTAAGTTGGCCTCTGGTAATATCGGATTATTGGTCATCATGGCACCATTCTACTAGGGGCGGAATGAGATCGTGACATAGAATCACTTTTATCTTAACATTCTTACATAATCAAAGTATAATAATAATAATAATAAAATAAAATAAAATAAACTAAGAAAAAGACAAAAATATCCTTTGCTGTTAGCATGAGAGGATAATTAATTCTTGATAACTAAAGAGATAATGATACAAAAAATTTGAAGCAAGTGTCCCCATCATGTGGGCTGTTAGGTAGGATGGCAGTTAAAGCTTAGTTACTACATTGATATATGCACAAAATTAAAATTATAAAAAAAATTCAAAAATATTATATATAATTTAAATTTATTTTAAGTATAACGCACGCAACACTCATTAAAAATCTGAATTACATATTATACTTTTTATTCATTTTTTATATTTAAATTTTGTATAATTATTATTTTCTGTATTTGAATTATGTGCAACATTATACTTGTTGGTGCCCTGACGTTTGTACCGTCTACGTTGTAACTAACACTTCCCACACAAAATCTATGAGCACAAACAAACGCGCACACACACTACACTCCCATTATCCAATTCACTATTAATCAAATTACTGTAAACTCATTATTAAATTATATTTATTTTTTAAATAATAATTAATTAATTTTTAAACTTACACTTGTTATTTTTTAAAATAAATGTGATATAATCATGTTATTACTATTGTCTAAATAATCTAATTTTTTGTAAAAATAATTTATTTACGAGTTTTATACTATAAATAGTTTAGATTATCAAGATGGTCACGGTGGTTGGCCAATGAATACCAACAACAAAACTATTTTGAGATTTAATTGATGAAATGTTTATTCTTATGATGTCATATGTTATTTTATCCAAAGCTTAAAATTATTTTTTCTGACAAGGATACGTGTAAAAATCATTTTCAGGTTTAATTGATGAAATGTTCATTCTTATCAATATGTTATTTTATCCAAAGCTTAACATTATTTTTTGTGACAAGAATACGTGTTGAAAAGTCATCAGTACCAAAAAAGTTATCAAAAAATTGGCCAAAAAAAGTCACTGACAGTAGCAACTGGTGTCAGTGAGGTTGCCAAATATTTTGACAAATAGGTGAATATATTGGTGACACACATACATATAAGCAATATTTGAACCAATAATTAGACAGATAAGTGATACGTGTATATATATGTGATATTTTAGATAAATATATGACATTTGAACGGATAAACTGATATGCAAGTTTCGAACTAGATTGATGTCCTTTTAACCCCCAAAAATTTAAACCTATTAACTCAAAAGTTTCATAGATAGACCTCTTACCTCAGTGTCTTCTTTTTTTCTTTTTCTTTTTTTGGAGAATTATACTAACGGTTCTTATAGTTTGGGACTTTTATCATTTTGGTCTTTGACTTTTCAATTGTGATACATTTAACCTTAAATTTTGAATCTTATTCTAAATAAGAACAATTGAAGATACTGTTGCTTCATTTAAAAGGCAGAATAGTTAATTTGATAAAATATAAACTAATTTGATAAAAATAAATGTCAAAAAATTACTTTTGAATTCCTAAAAATTATTTCTACCTACCAAAGATAAAATTATATAAAAATGATAAATTTTTTATATTTTTATATTTTTACCAAATTAATTTTTAATATATTTGGATGATGATCATGTGTAATGTGTGGTTGTTTTTGTTTATGTTTCTAAATGGTTGTCATATAATTTATGGTTATATCATGTAATTGATGGTTATTAGGCTTTTAATGTGTAATCGATACATTTAATATATAAAATATTTTTAGTTTTGAATTTTTTGATTTGATAAATTAGTTTAATAATGACATCAAAATTGTTGTCATGTTTAACTTTTGAAAAAATAAAAACTAATTTAACGAAAATAAATATAAAAAAAATTAAAAATTATTTTTACCCTTTCAAATGATAAAATTATATAAAAATGGCATGTTTTGAAATTTTTTTCACCAATTTAATTTTTTGTTAGAAAAAAAAAATTTGAAAATAAACTTTAAAACTTAACCAAGCAAAACTTTATAACCAAGAAATTTCCAACATTATTTATTAAAAAATGGCTCATTACATTTCAAACAGTATACAAGTTAACCAATACAAAATAAGTTGTATGGCCACTTTGCTATTGAAATGGACTACTTGCAAATGAAATATCTTTGATTGTCTTTATTTAAAACAAATTCAAAATTCATGATCAATTACATCACAATTAAAAAGTCAATGATCAAAGTGACATAAATATTAAATTATAAAGATTGTTAGTGTAATTCATTTTTTTTTTAACACCACTCTCCCCAAAAAAAAAAAGAACTTTTTCTTTCTCACATTCCTTACCACGTTTGTCAATTATATATTTTAATTAAAAAATTATTATAAATTATCATGTCACTCTTCTTATATATATATATATCTTTATATTAAAAAAATTAAACAAATATTAAAATAATTTGTTCCTGGGCAAGACTCGAGAGAAAAAAATATTAAAAAAAAAACCATCCACAGCCCCTCAACCGACCCCCAAATAACTGACCCCTCTCTCTCACATATTAATTACTTGGAATTTCTTGGCACCGCAAAACAGCTGTCGGCTGCTACATACATGCGGAACAGGGGTCACTGCTGTGCTCACGCACAGCAGTGACTGTGGTGCATCCATTTAGTGTGTATTATGCCTTTATTTTTATGATCCAAACCGTTCATTTTGTAGGGTTTGTTGAGTACTTCATGCCTACCAAAAATCATATTAATCGGATATCAAAAACTATATGATCGAACTGCATATTATTTATGTTATTTCTCAAAATAAAACTTATTAGTTTTTTTTTTGGTTACTGATCATATAGTTTTTAATATCCGATTAATATGATTTTTGGTAGGCATGAAGTACTGTTGGTTGGTTATTGTTGAATCCTATCCCAATCCCAATCCCAATCCCAATCCCAATGATTCTTCAATGCTCCACCCAAGTATGCATATACATATACATATAGCTTGAAAGCTTGAAGTGGGATTTGAAGAAATTGAAGGGCAAAAGTGGGTTGTGCTTTGTGGATCAAAGAGAGTAGTGTTTATGGGTTCAGTTTTGGAAAGTATACAAATTTAGGTTGATCAGACAAAACCTCCTATTATATTTAAAGACATTTCACATTTGTGTGGGGTCACTGCTGTGCGTGACTGTGGTGCCTCAATTTAGGGTGTATTATGGCTTTATTTTTATGATTCAAACCGTTATTTTGTAGGGTTTGTTGAGTACTTCATGCCTACCAAAAATCATATTAATCGAATATCAAAAACTATATGATCGAACTGCATATTATTTATGTTATTTCTCAAAATAAAACTTATTAGTTATTTTTTTGGTTACTGATCATATAGTTTTTGATATCCGATTAATATGATTTTTGGTAGGCATGAAGTACTCAACAAACCCTACAAAATAACGGTTTGAATCATAAAAATAAAGCCATAATACACCCTAAATTGAGGCACCACAGTCACGCACAGCAGTGACCCCACACAAATGTGAAATGTCTTTAAATATAATAGGAGGTTTTGTCTGATCAACCTAAATTTGTATACTTTCCAAAACTGAACCCATAAACACTACTCTCTTTGATCCACAAAGCACAACCCACTTTTGCCCTTCAATTTCTTCAAATCCCACTTCAAGCTTTCAAGCAATATGTATATGTATATGCATACTTGGGTGAAGCATTGAAGAATCATTGGGATTGGGATTGGGATTGGGATTGGGATAGGATTCAACAATAACCAACCAACCGAGCAATTGTCTTTCTATCTTTTGGATTCTGTTTGGCAACTGTCATTCTTTTTCTATGTATCGAATGGAGAGACAGGATAGCAGAACAAAAGAGAATGGAATTGTTGAAGATGAAAGTGCCTGTTTTCCTGGGGAAATGGGTGCCCCTTTGTTTGCCTGGCCTTGGCAGAATTTGGGAATTTACAAGGCAAGTCTCTCCTCTCCTCCTCCTTATCATTCTTCTTTTTGTTTTCCCCTATGCTATAAGTCATGTTTGGTTTGATTTTCGGTTTAATCACAGAAAAGTGACCTCTGTGCTAAACCAAGTAGTCGAAATTTCAGAAGCCATTTTAGATATTAAAAAAAAATAAAAAAAAAATAATAAAGAAATTAATTTAATAAAATAAACATTAAAATGGTATTTTAAATTTGTAAACATTAGTTTTGACCTCCAAATGATAAAATTATATAAAAATAGTAAAAAAAATTATATTTTTTACTAAATTACTTTTTATTTTTTTTTAAATCAGAAATAAATTTTTAAAAATCAAATCAAGCATGCTCTCTCTCTCTTTTTTCTTTTTCATTTTTAATGGTGAAAACTATTTATGTATTTTTGATGATATGACAGACAATAAAAGTCACTGAAAATGTTTTCCTATAATTAAAGGAAAGTAAATTTAGGATTATTTACATGCTAACTCTTGAAAAGTATCATTTTGACCCCTCAACTGTACAAACATATAAATAGACCCTAAAACTATTGAGCAAGGATCCTCTAGAGTGATTTTTCTCTAAAGTTTCCTAGAGTGCTACATTGTGTGGTTGAGATTTACTGGCAAATCACATCAATTTTTCTGATGTGACTTGCCAATAAATCTCAACCACACAATGTAGTACTCTAGGAAATTTTAGGAAAATTTCACTCTAGAGAATCCTTGGTGAAAACTATTGAGAAGTATCGTTTTGCTTCCTAAACTATAGAAATATACAAATAGACTCCCTAAACTATTAACGTGTTTCATTTTGATCCCTTCCATTAAGAATCTAATTAATACATTTTTATAATTTAAGGAATCAAAATGGTACTTGTTTAAATCTAGTGTTCTTGTTTTAGTACTTCTGTTTTAATTTGTTTGCTAACTTAATATGGGGATGAAACAACAACAGTATTTGCTATATGGAACATTCGTTGCAAAGTTGGTGTACTCTAGTACTAGTTTGGAAGGGACTGAGAAAGATAGTAGGCTTTGCGAGCATGTTCTCCACCTATGTATACTCAGAGGCCTTGTTCATCAGCTATGGAGCTCTTACAATGCCATGCTTTTTCTTAATCGCACCCGTCGTGTCTCTCCACGTGGCATAGATTTCAAGCAAATTGACAGAGAATGGGATTGGTATTTATTTCTTTTCTTCATTTTCTTACTCCATAATTTGTTTAAAATCACGTGAATATATATATATATATATATTGTAATTAATTATTATGTTAATTACACTAAGACTTTCTTAATTATTAACGAATATCACTTCATCTCTTTCCTTTATGAACTATACATACTAACCCTTCAAACCGTACAAATTCACTTTTTTTTGGAGTGGTTTGAAGGGGACAACATGGGTGAAAGTGATACATATTTGTGTGAATTATGCTGACATCTCTTTAGATTTAGCAAAAATACAATAAGATTCATAATTTTGATATAATTACATTAAATTCCTTTCAAATTTTAATTCATATATTATTTTACTTCATTTTCATCAATAATTTCGTAGTTATATGGATAAAAAGTGATGATATCATCTTTTTACATGAAAATGTGTACTTTAAGTTATTTATTGTTGTGTTTTCGTATTATCTAGATTAGTTTCGGTCCATTTACCTTACTAAAAGAAAGGTTAGTGTAATTATGTCAAAACTGTATGACTTCTTACTATATTTTTTTCAAATTTCAAGGAAAGTTAGTGTAATTTACCGTATATTTTTTATAATTGATGAGATTAAATGTTCAAATTTATAGATAAATAATATAAAGTGAAATTTACTAGAAGAGTCTTGATATAAATAATTATTTTGACAGGGACAATTTCATAATTCTTCAATCTTTTGTGGGTGCATTGGCCTGTCTAAGCTTCCCATCATCCATGGCCAATCTTCCCATGTGGAACACAAGGGGGTTAATCTGCTGTGTAATGCTTCACGTGGGACTCTCAGAGCCAATTTACTACTGGGGACACAGATTTATGCATTCTCAACACCTCTTTACTCATTACCATTGGTTACACCATTCCTCCAGGGTCACACATCCCTTCACAGGTACCTAACGATATACACAGTATCCGTACGAGTTTCTCTGTTCTTAAAATTTATGTCGCGGTTAATTCAGTTTCAATCACACGGTCATATCTTGAGATTATAATATTTTGATATTTTTACTATATCGTACCATCTATACTTACTATGTATTAAGTAAAAAGAGATTTTTAATCCTCAAGATCTGTGGGAGTTTCAATATATTAATTTTAATTTTTTAATTTTTTATTTTTAAAAAAAAAAATTAACTTCAACATTTATTAATTTCTCTCAACCCATAAGACTTTTTGACTTATTTCATAATTACTGCAGTACCTTTTTCAAAACAAATAATTTGTATATTAAAAAAAATTAAAACAAATATAAATATCTATATCTATATCTATCTATTTATTTAGATGTATCTCTAACCCTCAAGTTTTGTAAGAGTTCTAATATCTGAACCTTAATTTCTTAACTTTTTTTATTTTTTTTGAAAAAAAAAAATTTAACACTTATTAAATTCTTCCAAGTCTTTTTAACTTCTCCAATACACACACTCTTTTTAACTTTTCACATACCTATTGCAAACAGTGAGTCTTCTTTTTGTTTTCTCCTTCTTGACTTTTCTTTTTGTTTACTGTTTTAATATTGTAATTAGATAGCGCATAAAAATATTTGTGATTTGTCTAACGAATAAAAAATTATAACTTGATTTTTTAATATGATTGAAATTAGATAAATATAAACCCTCATAAAGAGAAAATGTGATTATAATTAGTTGAGTGATTCTTTTTTTTTTAATATGATTATAGTTAGTTTAATAGTTCTTTTTTTTCATTTACTTATTTTATTGTGGGAAAAATGTGATGTGATTGTAGTTTGTTCAATGGTTCTTTTTTTTAATATGATTGTTGTAGTTAGTTCAATGATTTTTTTTTTTAATGTTATTTAATCTTTTTATTTACTATTTTAATTTTATTTTTAACATGATCGAAATTAAATAAACATAAACACTCACACAAAAAAAACGTGATTGCAATGTGATGTGATTGTAGTTTGTTTAATGGCTCTTTTTTTTAATATGATTGGTGTAGTTAGTTCAATGGTTTTTTTTTTAATATTATTTAATCTTTTTATTTACTATTTTAATTTTGTTTTTAATATGATTGAAGTTAGATAAATATAAACACTCACAAAGAAAAAAATATGATTGTAGTTAGTTCAATGATTCTTTTTTTTTTTTAATGTGATTGTATTTAGTCGATGGTTATTTTTTTCATTTATTTATTTTTTTTATTATGAGAAAAATGTGATGTGATTGTAGTTTGTTCAATGATCCTTTTTTTAATGTGATTTAATCTTTTATTTACTGTTTTAATGGTTTTTCTTTACAATTATTTATGAAAAAAATATGATTGTAGTTAGATGGTATAAAAATATTTGTGATTTCATTTGATTTTTTTCTGATTTGATTTTTAAAATACCAATTATTGATAATGATTAGATTATATTTTAAAAAAAAAAATTGTAATTAATTTTTTTAACTCACTGTGTTTTTTGAAAAAAAAAATTATTATGTTTTTTTAACTATCAATTCACTTTATTTGTGATTTGATTTTTAACTCACTGTGTTTTTTGAAAAACAAAATGGATTGTACTCATTAGGATCACATAATGTACCAATTATTGATGATGATTAGATTGTATTTTGACCAAAAAAATTGTAATTGATCTTTTTAACTCACTATGTTTTTTGAAAAATAAATTATTGTGTTTTTTAATTATCAATTGACTTAATTTATGATTAATTTTTTTAATTATTGATGATAATTAGATAGCATTAAAAAAATTGTGATTTGTATGATTGAAGTTATCTCCTTTTGTTTATAATTTTATTTTTTAATATGATTGAAGTTAGATAAACATAAACACTCACAGAAAGAAAAATGTAATTGTAGTTTGTTCAATGATTCTAAATAATCTTTTTTATTTACTATTTTAATGGTTATTTTTTAAAATTATTTTTTTATTATGAGAAAAATGTCAATTTAGTTAGATAGCATTAAAAAAAATTGTGATTTGTATGATTGAAGTTATCTCCTTTTGTTTATAATTTTATTTTTTAAATATGATTGAAGTTAGATAAACATAAACACTCACAAAAAGAAAAATGTGATTGTCATTTGTTCAATACTTCTAAATAATCTTTTTATTTACTATTTTAATGGTCCTTTTTTTGAATTATTTTTTTTATTATGAGAAAAATGTGATTGTCGTTAGATAGCATTAAAAAAAAATGTGATTTGTATGATTAAAGTTATCTCATTTTGTTTATAATTTTATTTTTTTAATATGATTGAACTTAGATAAATATAAACACTCAATGAGGTTTTTAAGGAAAATAGGGTTTTTAACCCCAAAGCCTGTGAGAGTTTCAATATCCTAATCTGAATTTTCTAAATTTTTTATTAAAAAACAAAGAAAAAAGCAGTATTTATTGATTTGGTCAAAATCTCTTAATCAGCATTTATTAACTTTTTTTCAATCCACATGCCTGCATTTATTGATTTGGTCAAAATCTCCTGATCAATATTTAAAATCGCCTCATACAAATAATTATAGATACAATCTGTGTATAGTTACTACAGTACTCTTTTCAACTTTTTTTTATACACTATGGTTAGTGATAAGATTGTTAAATTATTTTTATAAAAAATCTTGAAAAACATAATTTATATATTAAAAAAAATCTAAAATAAATATAAATATGTATAATTATCCCGTGCATAGCACGGATGATAGGCTAGTTAAAAAATATAATAGATTCAAGATAATTGAATTTTCTGAGTATAATTAAATTTTTAAAGCTTGGAAATTTCTATTTTATCATATTGCTAAGAACATATTAGATTTTACTAGGCTCTTTATAGCCCTTGATTAAAATTGGGAGTGTGGGATGGGTTCGTTGACATCCTCCCCCAGATTGGCTTGGAGGGTCGGGTCTAAAGGGCTCGGCATTTGAAGTTTCCGAGTCATCATAAAAAAAGGAAAAAAAATATGCATTAAATACAACAAGAAAATTGGGATTTTGTGTACTGAATGGTTACTCTAGCAACCATTTATATATAAATGTATATTCCATTTATTTATTTTTAAATTCAAAATTTTACTTCCGTTTTTTTTTTTTTTTTTTTTTTTTTTTTGTGATACTTTTTTTTAGATAGAGGTGTGGAACTTAAAACCTCATATGACATGCTCATACTTACCAAAAAATTAAAAAAGAAAGATATGTCTTTTTTTAAAAAACTTGAGTGGGTAGTGGGTCAGGTCCCAAACTGCTCAATCTCAAGACTAAGGGTTGGGTTGGAAAGTCGATTGGTTTTTTAATTTTTTAGTTATTTTATTTTGTTGCTAAAAAATTTTATTTGGGTTAAATTTTTTGATTTTTTTTGACATTTGTGAAAAAAATATAAAATGATTATGATTTGAATATAATATTTTATTTTGTTGACTTCTTATTTTATTTTATCTTTTTATAACTATTTTAGACCACAATCTCATTTTAGTCTCATGCCAAACGAGGGCTAAGGTCGTCCCATTTGCATGAAAATAAACTTGCAACTTTATTACGTTGGGTTTTGTTCCCTTGGTATATGAGTTTAGATAAGAATTTGAAAAGACAAAAGAAAAACATATGCAAAATACGTATTATTTCATTCATATCAACTTTATAATTTTTATTTTTTGAAAATAAAAAATATCTTTTCAAATCCATGAACCAAACAAAACTTAAAGTGGAATTGGGATTGGCTTATTTACTATTTTAAAAATAAAATAAATTAAAAAGACTAATGTATTTAAAGAATTGTTATAAAAAAAAATTTGTAAATAAAAAAATTGATATGACTTTTAATTTTCTGCAGTCGATAACAAACAAGTTAATGATTTTTTTATTATTATTATTAAAATTAATTAATATTTATTTTTATTTTTTATTTTTTATTATTTTTTTAAGTTTTAAAGATTCCTTTGTGAGCAAGTTGCTATCACAGTGGGCCAAGTGCTGGACCACCTCATAGACTCATGTTTAATGTCTGAGATTCAGTGGTGGACCACATAAGGATTTGCCTATGTGTTTCTACTCAATTGGTGGACCACATAAGGATTAGCCTATGTGTTTCTGCTCAATTTTTTTAAGAGAAAAATAGAAAATAGCGGTAATTTCATAAAATATTTTAAAATTTATGAGAAAATAATTTTAAGTGTAAATTGTATTTACTTCCATTAATGTTTAATAAAATTACAAAAACATCCCCCAAATTTTTTGAAATGACTTATAGCTTTCCTGAAATTTAAAATCCTAAATGAAACGAAAGTTGGATCTCTAACATATAACTTTGACATCACCTTAATATTTAATTCAACAATAATAAACACCCCAAAATGTGTACCATATGTTTGACATTTGCGATTTTTTATTATGATTTATTATGCTATTAGTTATGAATTACTTATGATTTAGTTATAGTTCATTATAGTTATTAGTTATAATTTATTGTACTGTTGATTATGAACTAGTGCGATTATTATTTGGAAAGTGTTTATGCAAGGGCATATATAATTTGTGTAAATTTTAACAAACATACGTAAGTTATCTTACAAAATAGAATAATTTAAACACATTCACGTAAGTTAACTCATAAAATTTTGAAAAATCACAACTTGACGTAAGTTTTCACAAATATATGTAAGTTACCTCATAAAATCAGGTAACTTAACACAAATCGCTTAAGTTAACCCATAAAACATATCATAAGTTCTCACAAAAGTTTGTAACTCAAGTATACATAAGTAAATAGGGTTGCACAACCAAGAATTACCCTTATTATTTTGGTTATACCTAATGTGGTGTTTGTTTATGGTACATTATTTTATTTTTTGTTATAATTAAAAATGATTTAGTTATGACATTTATGGTAATTGACCCTAAAAATGTCATAACTTGCAATGTTAGTTTCTTTATTTTGACCCTTGTGTCATTTTGGTCTCTATAATTTCAATTTATCCAATTTTAATCCTTAATTTATGATTTTATCTCAATTTAATTCAATTAATTACAATTGTTTTAAAAAAAAAAATAGAAAATACACACATGAACATGAAAAACATGTGTTATGCTTTCGTATGCAAAATTATAAATTTGTTTAACTTAATGAGTTAACCTCGACCAATTTAGTGACAATTTTTTTTCCGACAATTCTAATTGTTATTATGTATATATTTTAGAAAGATAATTATTTTTATCAATTGGACCAAATTTATACAAAATTTAAAATTAAAACTTAAAATTAAACTAATTGAAATTATAAAGACGGTAATAATACAAGAAGTATCATGTAAATACCAACAATATAATTTGCCCTTTAAAAAATGTAAGGTTTTGTAAATATAGATTTAGTGACTAATAATTCATGGTTGTGCATTTTGTGTATGGTGCAGCTGGGTATGCGACCTTTCTGGAACACATATTGATGTGTGTGATTGTAGGGTTGCCCATCATTGGGACTATCCTTGTAGGGTTTGGATCAATAAGCATGATCTATGGCCATGTTTTGATCTTCGATTTCCTAAGATGTTTGGGGCATTGCAATGTTGAAATCATTCCCCATCAGCTATTCGATGCCTTCCCACTTGTAAGATACTTCATCTACACGCCCACGTAAGTATCTATTTATTTTCTAATTTGTGTTTGGATTTTGAATTTGAATAATAATTTAAAATTGGAAAAAAAAAATTTGAAAAAACATAAACTTATATATTTTATTCGTATTTATTTTATTTTTTATTTTTTCATTGCAATGTTGAAATCATTCCCCATCAGCTATTCGATGCCTTCCCACTTGTAAGATACTTCATCTACACGCCCACGTAAGTATCTATTTATTTTCTAATTTGTGTTTGGATTTTGAATTTGAATAATAATTTAAAATTGGAAAAAAAAATTGAAAAAACATAAACTTATATATTTTATTCATATTTATTTTATTTTTTATTTTTTCATTAATTCATAATTCAAACATAACAGTAATATTAATCTTTATTCATTTCCATAGATGGATTGCAAATAATCAATCAGGTCTCGTGGGCTCTCACTGATGGTTTAATTTGTTAATTTTTTATTATTATTATTACTATTATTATTTTTAATTTTATGTGTATAATAGACAATAAGTATGATTTTGAAAATAAACTAATCCTTTTTACCATGACAAATGTGACGAAATCAAGTGCTACAAATGTCAACAATCTAATTTTTTTTTTTTTTTTTATGGATAATATACACATAAAAATCTAAAATTCAATGAATTAAATCATTAAAGTATGGCTCGTTGAGGACCATAGGCCTGGATTGCACTGTTCAATTCTTTTAAGGATGGGAGATTAATTTTTATAAAAACATAAGAGAGTTGGATGTTATAGATATATTGAGCAAGTGAAGAAGAAAATAGAGTATAGTGAAGAGATATTTTATTATGATAATTTTAAATTATCATATTTAAATCATTATCATAAAAAATAAAAAAATAAAAGAAGAAGCTAACCAATCTAAATTAAACCAAATCAAGCCTTAAGTCTCATTAAATTGGATCGGCTATATGAATTTTTCTTCTCCACTCGACTCTATCAATGGCCATATGGTTAGTTAAATTAAAGAAATTCATATCTCTATTTACTACACTCGCCCACATCAATTTCGGTATGTCCCTTCCCCTAACACTTCCATATACTATCACTGTATCACATCTCTTCACTACTGTCTCTGTTAGTCTCCGTTGTAGATGACCAAACTATTTCAATCTATTCTCTCTCAGCTTATTTTCTATTGGTTCTGCTCTATCCATTAACAAATATACTAATTCCTAATTTTATCTTTTCTAGTCTTACCACATATTCACCTTAGCATCCTCATCTCAGTAACACTCATCTTATCTACATGTTATTCTTTAATTGTCTAACATTCCGTTCCATACAACATTATTGGTCTAATAACCGTTCTATAAAACTTTTTTTTTAATTCTAGTGGGTACTTGTTTATCACATAGTATCTCAAACACACTCCTTCACTTAAGCCAGCCTACCTTAATTCTACGGACCACATCTGCTCCAATCTCCCATACCATTGTAATAATCAATCCTAAATAACGAAAATGTTCACTATTAGGTAGTTCTTAGTCTTCAATCTTCACTTTTCCTCTACTTCCATTGTTACTGTTGCTAAAATCACACTCCATGTACTCAGTCATTGTTCTGCTTATCATAAACTCTTTAGATTCAAGTATTTCTCTCCACATCTTCAACTTAGTGTTAACTCATTCCCTAGTCTCATCCATTAACACGATATCATTTGCAAAAAATATACATCATGGCACATCATCCTAAATAAAAATAAAAATAATAATAATAATAAAAAGAAGCTATCATATAAATTTGAGTTATTTTTCTTAAATAATTAGTCGCCAAATCATTTATTTTAAAGGAAAAATTATCAAAAAATCCCATATGGGAATCAATTACTTCAAATAGTCCCATAGATTTTCTAATACACTGATAGGTTTTGTTTTTTTGACAACCTTACCGTGAGATTCTATTTTAAATTTTGATATGATTTAGTGGACGTGTCTTCCCTTCCTCATTAGGGCACGCCATCTTAAGAAAGTTGGATACAAGTTTTGAATCACGTTTCCGTTACTCCAATGTAACAACGGTCCTGTTTGGTACAGCTTAATTTCAGTTTATTTCAGCTTTCAGCTTAATTTAAGCTATTTTGATGTGTTTGGTTTAGCTTATAGCTTATAGCTTATAGCTTTGTGGAAGTCAGAAAACAGCTTATTCTTTAAGTAGGGCAGGAGATGCTTTAAGAATAAGCTTCTGCGCGAGGGCATAATTGGCCCTGTTTGGTACAACTTAATTTCAGCTTATTTCAGCTTTCAGCTTAATTTAAGCTATTTTGATGTGTTTGGTTTAGCTTATAGCTTATAGCTTATAGCTTTGTGGAAGTCAGAAAACAGCTTATTCTTTAAGTAGGGCAGGAGATGCTTTAAGAATAAGCTGGAAATCAGCTTAAGCTGAAAGTTATAAGCTATAAGCTGTTTAGGCATAAGCTATAAGCACTTTCCCACAGCTCTACCAAACAGGACCAACATAACACACTAAAAAACTCCTTAGTGTATTTTTCAAAGAAGTAATATTCTTCCAATGGAACACACTAAAAGACTACTCCAACAAAACACACAAAAAAAACTCATTTGTGCACTTTTTTCCAAACGTAACATTGCAACATTCTAACGCAATACACTAAAAAACTTTTTAATACACTTTTCACAACGTAAAACACTAAAAAATTTCTTAGTGTACTTTTTATAAACGTAATACTCCTCCAATGTAATACATTGAAAAACTCATTCAACGTAACACTTTAATATAACACACTATACTAAAAAAACTCTTTCATGTACTTTTCACAAATGTAACACTCCTTCAACGCAACATATTAAAAAACTCCTCCAGCATTACACACAAAAAGACTTTTTAGTATACTTTTCCAATGTAACACTAACATACTAAAAAACTCTTTAGTGTACTTTTTTCAAACATATCACTCCAACGTAACTCTCCAAATGTAACAAGTCAATGTAGGGGCAAATGAGCCATTACACACCTAAAAAGACTAAATGGATTCCAAAATATGATATCAATCTCCCTATTTGGTGAATCTATAAAATCTAGCAATCTTTTTTTCCATGTAGAAATGAATTGTGGCAATATATAACTTATTGGTACTCAAACATAATGTCATTAAATTTATAGGTTTTTTTATTTTTATTTTTATTTTTTAATGTATAGATACCACAGCTTGCACCACACAGAGATGGGAACCAATTTCTGCCTCTTTATGCCTCTCTATGATGCGCTGGGGAACACCATCAACCGCCATTCTTGGCATATTCACAAAGAAATTAGTTCAGCTGCAGGTGAGCAACATCAAACTATTTTATTTATTTATTTTTCTTAATTTTAATTTCTTTGTTTTGGTACCTCATGTCTCTTTATGGGTTTGACGAAGTATAGTGAGTTTTTTCGGATTTAAAATCAAACAGGTCAAGAGGTGGAAGTGAGCTAACCCAAACTTGAAAAAATTCAGATTTAGGGATGGACTCAGTATTTTCATATAAGGGAGGCAAACATATATGTCCTAACAAATTTTTTAAAAATAAAGTATGAACAATAATATCAATTTCTACTAGTATAAAAAGTGAATATATATATAAATTACATGTGTTTTTGTATTCACAATTAGTTTAAAAAATAGAAACTATAAAACAATCTATATATTAAAGTGAGACATTTTGAGTTGTAATACTCGATACTCTTTCATGTTATTAAAAATGTCTATAATAGAATTGATATTAAAATTTCTTACAATATATTTCTCAATGAACCTGATTAAGTAATTACCTGATACCTTATTCTTTTGTTTAGAAACTTGGACTTGTTATTAACACTAGTTATAAGAAATTAATTTTTTTCATTTTTTTAAGGGGTATTTACACATAAGTCTTAATTTATAAATTTATACTCCATTAAGCCTTAACTAAGATTTTTTGGACCTTTAAGTCCCATTACATTTTTAATAGGCAAAATTACCTTCGAACAATGATTATTCATCATCTATAAAGGAATATGATGATTTGACATATATTTTGATCTTCAAAACTTTAAAACATCAACTTTCAAATTGAAAAAACTAATATATATATATATATATATGTGCAAAAAAATAAAAATAGAAATTGAAAAAACTGAATTATTTTTTTGTGCAAAATTAAAAATTTTGTGTCTATAAACGAGCATGATGATAGAATATTGATATGCAAAACTGAAGAAAAAATAATTTAAAATGAAAAAATTGATAATGTTCTTGATTTTATTAGATAGTTGAATCAAATCAATAAGTAGAAGGGCAAAAACGTATAATCTCATGCTTTGTTTTTTTTTTCATCTGTTAGTGAAACAATTATCTGGAACATTACTATGCACAATTGATAATATTTTTAGTTTTAAAATTAGAAAATTTGATAATATCTTCAGTTTTGCTAAATAGAACTTTTATGTAATTAACTCTTTTTTTAATGTTACATTTTGTCTTTTATGTTTCTTAGATATAGAGCAACATTCACTTAAAATTTCTAAAAAAAGAAAAACTTGGGAACGAGTCTCTTTAATATGTAGATAATTTTGACTAATATTACTGCAATAAAAAATGTTATTGAATTCGTAAGGGGCGATCACCCCCTCTAGGTCCATCCTAATTCGGATTGGTTCAAGTTGGTTCCTTAGGTCTAATTTTTTTAGTATATGACTTGACTTAATTAAAAATTATGCCTATACATCTTATTATAAATTTGCATAATTTTATTACAAAAATTCTTAACATTAACCACAAAATGCATAACTTCATCATAAATTGGTGTAACTAAAATTGTTATAACCAAGTCACAAACTTTTATAACATGAACCAAAAAATTTTAGACATTTTTTTATACTAATTTGTGATGAGATTACGTATTTTATGTTAAAATTACGTCTATTTATGATATGGTGGATATGATATATATCTTTGAAGGGGTGCACACCAAAGCTTTTTTTACTCTCTATTGAGTAATTATGTCAAAATATTTTATACAGCTTTTTCTACTAATTTATAATTCAAAAAATGACTTAAGTACGGAGGGAAAAAAATGACTAGAAAATAGATGAGATACTTTTAACTTGGCAAAAGAGTTAAAAATATGGCAAATATCAATTGCTTATATACACACTAAGACATGTCAATTAATAAATAAAAAATTATATGAATCCACCTCATCAATTCATAATTTATTCAGAATATATTTGTATGGTAAAAATTAAATTATTAAAGTATAGAGTTCATGAGTAAAATGAATATGGACCATTTATTCATTTTTTGAATAAATTCTGATTTAATAAATTTAGATTTGTAGTGTTGTTGATTAATAAATTATGGATATTGTTAACATGTGTACTTAGGATACATTTTGGGATCTACTAAAAAAGACAAAAAGTTAAAAAAAATTACTCAAAAAATTAAAAAGTTATCACTATTCATCTAAAAAAAATTAAAAAAATAATTTTTCACACATCAATTCACACAGCCGTACAACTCATCATCTTCACCCGTGAAGCTTGTGCTGTGTTTGAAAGGAAAAATTGCATAGTTTGGTGCAATTTTCACACACTGCTGTTCGGCTCATGGGAGCCATCACGTGGTACGTTTGAATCTGAACGCGCTAACATGTGGTAGATAATTGTCAAGGATTTTAGTCTATAAAAAATCACATTGATCGGATATCAATAACTATATGATCAAATCAATTTTGTATAAAAAAAATAAATGGTGTTATAATTAACGATTGAAAAAAAAAACACATATGATCAGATAGCTATCGATATCCATCAACGTGATTTTTTATAACCATATAGTACTTGACGAGTTCTACGTATTGAACGATTCAGATTATCAAAATGGGACCCGTGATGGCCCCCTTGGGCCGAACAAAACCGTTCAGTGCAATGTCTAAAAATTAGCCAATAATTTCTTACCATCAATTCGTCCCCACAAATTGTACGACTGTTGACTTTTCACTTCTAATCTTCTCCTACACACTTCTTTATACAATTTTTTCATAAAAAGTCAAAAAGTTAACCCAAATATCCATATTTTTTTCCTCAATTTTTAAGTCCAAAAAGATAAAAAGTGCACTTATTTAGGACATCACAAACAACAAGTAAAACTCAAATAGAAATATATATGGTGATTTTCAAAAACTAGATATTTTTCTACATAAACAAAAATGTCCTTACTTTTGCAATACCGAAATTCAATAATTTATGAAAATATAAAATGGTAGTACCTTCTTGAATAAAAAATAAAAAATATTAATGTTTCATTATAAATAAAAATTAGATTTATAAATCACACAAAATAATAGTGCTTTCTCTATTTAAAGGCTCATTTAAGCTGAAATAATTTCTTGAAATGGATTGATGAATTTTATTTACAATTAGGTATTCATCCATTAATGCTATAATAATCCATTGATGTTATAAATTACAACAAAAAATAAAAAAGTATTTCAGTGATTTCAAAAAATAATAAGTTAAATAAATAAAAATACTTTCTTTAGAATTACATAATTATTGTATGTGTTACAAATTAATATATATATATGTAATTATAATAAAATAAAATAATAGGTGGGAAATTAATGAGTGAAATTGAGAAAAAATACAAAGAGGGTATTTTGGTCTCTATGTAGAAAAAATTATTTATTCTTTAATAGTTTATAAGTTTTTACTACTTTATATACAAATGGGCGTAACTGTACACATTTAATGTCGTTCTTAATATATACCGAACGAATAATGCAATTTGTATTAATTGGTATATTAATTAGTCTACTAATAGATAATATAATATAATTTTATAGGTTTTGAGTCTTTGTAATTTGTATAATAGGTAGTGTCATAATTTTAAAATCGGTGGTGCCACATGCACCAATTAGTATATCAACTAGTGTACCAACATATGTTATGACATTATTATTGATTTCACCCATTATACAAATTATAAATATTCAAAATATCTGAAATTATGTCACATCATATGTTAGGACATTAATTGATATATCAATTATTACATATAACATTATTTTTTTAAAGTAGTATCATAACATATGTTGGTGTACTAACTGATATATCAGTTAATGCATATAGCACCACCAATATAGGACACATGTTAACAAAAGTCATAAATTATAATGGGTTTTGTTAACAAGGATGCATTTAATATATTTAACTACCTCCACTATCATAGCAAAAACGAAATACTAGTATAAATATATTTTGTTAAAGACTAGACTACATTTTTCTTTAATTTCTTCTATTTAATGGTATATATACTTTTATAGTAGAGTTTGCTTTTTTTTAAACATTTTTTTATCATAAAAATAAATGCCTTTATTTTTAAATAAAAAGTCCACAAAAATGTTATTTAAAAATAAAGGCATTTATTTTCATGATAAAAAATGTTTAAAAAAAATAAAAACAAATATTATGAAAAGTATATAATGTGAAAATAAAAGGAATTGAAGAAAAGGGTAATTTAATCTCTACAAAAAAATATTAATAGTATTTCCTCTTTTCTATGATTGTGGAGGTGGTTAAGTGCATTTAATGCATCCTTAACACGTGCTCTAAGGGCACTTGTTAACAAAACCCATTTATTATACGTAAATTCACTTGAACTCCTTCCATTGCATTTAATGGATTGGCATGTAATGGAAAGAGAAAAAAGGGTAATATATATTCAAGAGAGGTCAAGAGGGGAAGATGAGATCAAATGCCTCATAAGACGAGCACGAACCAATGGTGTGTTTTGCACCCTAAGGATTAAACTCGGGTGCTTTAAATAGTAATAGCATCAAGTTGAAGACTATAATATAATATAATTTTATAGGTTTTGAGTCTTTGTAATTTGTATAATAGGTAGTGTCATAATTTTAAAATCGGTGGTGCCACATGCACCAATTAGTATATTAACTAATGTACCAACATATGTTATGGCATTATTACTAATTTCACCTATTATATAAATTATAAATATTCAAAATATCTGAAATTATGTCACATCATATGTTAGGACATTAATTGATATATCAATTATTACATATAACATTATTTTTTTAAAGTAGTATCATAACATATGTTGGTGTACTAATTGGTATATCAGTTAATGCATATAGCACCACCAATATAGGACACGTGTTAACAAAAGTCATAAATTCTAATGGGTTTTGTTAACAAGGATGCATTTAATATATTTAACTACCTCCACTATCATAGCCAAAAAGAAATACTAGTATAAATATATTTTGTTAAAGACTAGACTACATTTTTCTTTAATTTCTTCTATTTAATGGTATATATACTTTTATAGTAGAGTTTGCTTTTTTTTAAACATTTTTTTATCATAAAAATAAATGCCTTTTATTTTTAAATAACATTTTGTGGATTTTTTTAAAAAAATTTTAAATGCTCTTTATTTTCAATCATAATTAAATTATATGGGATAAAGAAAATGAATCTAAAAATTGAAAAAAAAAAATAGAGGACATATCAAACAATTTTTTAAAAAAAATACGAAAATTATATGTCCATTTTCTTTACACCATATAATTTAATTATGATTGAAAATACATGGCATTTAAAAATTTTTAAAAAAAAAACTCCACAAAATTTTATTTAAAAATAAAAGACATTTACTTTTATGATAAAAAAATGTTAAAAACAAAATCCATTATCAAAAATATATAATGTTAAAATAGAAGGAATTAAAGAAAAGGGTAATTTCTAGCAAATATATTTATAATTTTTTCTATTTTCTATGATAATGAAGGTAGTTAAATATATTTAATGCATCCTTAACAATTAATAAGAGCTCTTCTTAACAAATACGCAATTATTAACAACCAATAACTTAGGTCAATTATTGAGTTGTCTAGAATTAAATTGATGTGATTAATTCTAAGACTTTGGGGCTAAAAAAATCCAATTCAAATCAATGACTTAAATGAGGTTTGTTGCAACTCGTCAATAAATGAGGTTTGTTGCGTTATGTGATACATGGAAAATTATATAATGGGTGTTTGGCAAGTTAAGTTTTGGCTTTTTGGGGGTTAAAAATAAATAAATAAATAAAAAAGAAGAAAAAGAAGAAGAAGAAGAAGTTAAAATAGTTAATAAGACAAAATGTCATGTCAAATCCTTATTTATTTCACTTTTTTCTCTCACAAATATTATATCTAACTACAAAAAAATTTAATCATCTTCCCACATACAAAAAATTTAGCTTACTAAAATAGTCAAAAACTAAAATAGCCTACTAAAATAGCCAACTTTCCAAACAAGGCCATAATAGTCTTGTAGTATCACATAACTATACACTTTCATCAATTACCATTCACTATGCCTTCTCATATTCCTCAACCACCCAACATAACCTCCACCTTCTATTACAATCATATTACTATAGAGTATCACGTGATCGTACTCCCAAACTACCGAATAATCACCCGTGATACATACACCTTTTAGGTGCCTTAAATGTAGAAAGTTCACTTTGTCTGCTAATTGTGTAATTAATCATTAGTACATGGACAAATCATTCATCTTACATAAATAATTGAGAAATAAATAATGAACTATTGAAGTTTTTCAATTATCAAGGATATTATTACATAAACAATATCATATGATACTAGGAGAGTATTTAATAATTTTTTCAATTAATCTCACAGGAGTCTTCTATTCAAAAATATTTTTGTTTTTATTTTTGTTTGAAAAATACTCTCAACAACATAATTATGTTTGGATATTTTCATATTTCAAAATTATCGCATGATGCAGCGCAAAAGAGTATTTTGAAACAGCAAGATTTAGAAACAAAAAATACTTAACCATGCTAATATTTATTTATTTATTTATTTATTTTTATAGTTGTGCTACTTGCATAGAAAATATGCGCAAACGCATATTTTCTGTGCAAGTAGTTTTTATAGGTGATATTATTTAATATAGTAATTTATTTTATTTATGTTTTATTTATTGATGTGAAGGTAAAAAAGGAAGAGTGCCTGAATTTGTGTTCCTAGTACATGTGGTGGACGTAATGCAGGCAATGCATGTGCCATTCGTATTCAGGTCATTTGGGTCGGTCCCATACAGAGTACAACCTTTCTTGATACCAATGTGGCCTTTCACTTTCTTGGTCATGCTTGCTATGTGGGCCCAGTCCAAGACTTTCTTGCTCTATTTCTACACCCTCCGAGGCAGCCTTCTCGAGTCCTGGGTTGTTCCCAGGTATGGTTTTCAGGTATTCCTCCTAAGCCCACCACCCCAACTCCTCACACTCCCTTGCTATTCCTTTTTGAAATCAACCGTTAGATTGTGTTTGAAATATGGATTTGAGTAGAAATTTTAAAAATAAAAAGAAAAAAATGTGCGAAATATAGATGAAATGTAACTATATTTCATTAAAGGCTGGGCTTCCCTCCAGTTTGTGATCGGACTGGAGGATACTATTGGACCCGTGGGGGCCCACCACGGGTCTCGTTTCGATTATCCGAACCGTTCAATGTGTAGAACTCGTCGAGTATTATATACCTGTAAAAAATCATGTTAATTGGATATTGATAGCTTTCTCATCGGATTAGATTTCTGTCAACCATTTATTTTTTCACCGTCTATTTTTTTTTTTTATACAAAACTGATTTGATCACATAACTATCGATATTCAATCAACGTGATTTTTAACAAGCATATAGTACTCGACGAGTTCTACACATTAAATGGTTCAAATTTTTGAAACGGAACCCGTGATGGACCCCCACAAGCTCAACAGTACCCTCCAATCCGATCACAAACTGGAGGGAAGCCAGCCCCGTTCATTAATATTTCACCTACATTTTCGTTCATTTTCAAAATCTCTACTCAAATTCATATTCCAAACACAACTTTATAGATATATTATTCAGTAGATTATGTACCAGTCCTATGTAATGGATTTAAATACTTATAAGCTTTGTACACTTTTTAAATGTATCATAAAGTCTTAAAATGCTAATTTCGTCTCAACACCTTTTGGGGATATAGATACGTAAAAAAGGAAATAAGCCTTATTGGTAAATAAGTTCGGTCAATAAGACTGACCCATAAATTCACTTTTATGGATTGACAGTTACAAAGGATTCATATATTTGATTTCGACAATTACAAGAGTAATTTAGGAGAAAAGCTATGATAGAAAGGTGTTCATTCTAAGAACTCTATATGTTTTATATAGGGCAAATTTCATATACCTCTCTCGAGCTTTAGCTAAATTACAGATACTTCCTGAGGTTTCAAAAATTACAAATACCCTCTTTAGATTTATATTTTTGTAACAAATTGTCCCCTGAGGTTTATATTTTCATAACAAATTGCCCCCTAATTTGTTATGAAAACATAACCTTTAGGGAGGTATCTGTAATTTCTCAAACCTCAGGGAGCATCTGTAAATTTGCTAAACCTCAGGGGTATATGTAATTTGCCCTTTTATATAATACTAGAAGTGGTCACACATGCAATTTGTGTGCATAAGATTGTGGAGTGTATAATTGAACTTAAAATATGAAAATTGGAACATTTTACGAAACTAAAAAAATCAACAGTTGAGAGATTAAAAAATAATAATAATTTAGGGCATAACCGTAAGTAACTGCTTTTATGGGCATTTTGGAGGGGAAAAAAATGGGCATCTACACGAAGTGTTGTGTTTTTTTATTTTATTTTATATAATAGTAGTGTCCGTTTTGCAACTTTTCTATTTTGGCCTCCGTTTGGCAAGTTGGTTTATAGGCTTTTTTTGGCTATTTTAGCCACAAAAGACAAAATAGGCTATTTTAGCTACAACAAACAAAATATCACATCTAACCCATAATCATTACACTCTTCTCTCACAAAAAAAAGTTAAAAAAGCCAAAAAACCAAAAAGTCCTTTCCAAACCAAGCTTTTTAGCCCAGGCTAAGATAGCCAAAAAAAACCAAAAAGCCAAAAAGCTAACTCACTTCCCAAACGAGATGAAAATAGTTAGTATGTTTGGAATGATTTCTCTCATATTCAACGTTGATGCAAGTCACTATTTTTTTTAAATGATAGATTTATAAAATAGGCTTTTACAATTTGGCTAGTCCTTTGGCGAGGTCTTGGGTTCTATTCTTAGTAATGGAATGGGGGAACAAGATTTTCTTGCAAAGATGGATGGATGTGAGTTTCAATTCTCTTGAAATGCTAATTTAAGAATTAATAACTAACTTTCGCCGATCAAAAAAATAAAAACAAACTTGGCAAATAGCATCCGCCAGCTAGAGGAAAAGTTTAATAGTGATATTATATCGATATTTTTCTTATCAGATTGTTTTATTATTAGCTATAAGAATTTACATTACAAGGTAAAATTTACTATTACTTCTATGTCTAATAATAAAAATAAAAATTAGTAAAAAATATGTTTGTGTAGCAATTTTCAAAATTTGTTGTTATATGAAATTGATTGTGATATATATGTATGTTTGGGGCAGTATTTCTTACCATTTGCAAGGGAAGGAATTAATAAACAAATTGAAGAAGCCATCCTCAGGGCTGATAGACTTGGTGTCAAGGTCCTTAGCCTTGCTGCATTGAATAAGGTTGCTCTCTCTCTCTCTCTCTCTCTCTCGCTCGCTCTCTCATCCTAAATTTTTTTGTTACTATCTGTAATTAATTTGGAAGTTAGGTAGTCAAAATGAGCACAAAGATGATGATTAGGATGATGGAGAGAGTTTTCTGAATTAGTCTTGAAAATTAATGAATAAAATGTGTGATGGTCACTTTCACATAAAAGGAAAGAACAACACTAAGCCACGGTAGTCAGTTAGTGTGGCCTTGCAACTAGTCTCAGTGTACTGCGTGTTAGTAATTGCGTGGCCCGCTACGTAACGGAATTTTGGCCTTATGTTACAGCTCATATATCAGCTAATATTGTTTGGTAATCTCCGACTGATATATGGCAGTACTACTGATATCAATACCTATGTCAATATTGTTATTGAAAACCATGTGTCAAGCTAATATTTACTCTCACATGTGATTTTATTATGAGTGATTATTTGCTATTGGGGCTCGTAGACAATAAATTTTTGGACAATTTGCATCGGTAGTCCCTACAATTTGTTGCTTATGTCATTTTGGTTTCTATACTTTTAGTTTTTGTGTCAATTTGGTCCAATTGATAATGTCATTAATGTTTTGACGGAAAATAATCACTAAATTGATTGATGTTAGCCAATTAAGTTAAGCAAATTTATAATTTACTCTTAAAAACATAATACATGCCACTTATATGTGTATTTTTTATTAAAAAAAATTGCTAATAATTATAATCAATTTGATCAAATTGAAATAAAGTCATAATTTAAGATCAAAATTGAATTAATTAAAATAATATGGATCAAAATAATACATGAACCAAAGTATAGAAATTACTGTCATAATTGCCCTAAATTTCTTAAACCTTTAGGTAGTGAGGGGTTTCTTTTTATTGCAACATCAGACAAATTTTTTTATTAGGTTTTGAATTTTATTTTATTATTATTTTTTTAAAGCTTTTAGACTAGTAACTTAACATTTTGAAACCTTTCAAAAAAGTGGAACCTTCCCCAACTAAAAAACAAAAACAAAATAAAATGAATGGAGCCTTAGGCTGTTGTCTTGCTTATCTAATGGTGGATGGCATTAGCTTTCATACCACAATAGAATACCAAGAAATGGACAAAACAAACTATGAGTTTGATGTTCTATTGAACTTTATCCAATTATGTTGTTACTTGTTTTTTTGAATGTTTGATTTGAGAATTTAATGTATATGAAAATGCTGTTGAAATTGTAACAGAATGAAGCTCTGAATAGAGGGGGAACATTATTTGTAAACAAGCACCCAAACCTTAAAGTTAGAGTGGTCCATGGAAACACATTGACAGCTGCTGTGATTCTCCATGAGATACCTAAAGATGCACAAGAGGTCTTCCTCGCCGGGTCTACTTCCAAGCTTGGAAGGGCCATTGCCCTCTACCTTGCTCGTCGTAAAGTTGCTGTCATGGTAAGACCCAGTACTCAATGAATTTTGAGGACTGCTATATGTCACTGCATCGATTTCACTATGTATTTATTTATTTATTATTTTAACTTCCCGTTACACAGGATGCTAGAAAAAATTGTGAAACAACAATTTTTTGTGAATTTTTTTTTACGCTAGTTGAAAATTGATATATCATGTACACATGAATGCTCAATTTGTTTTGGCTAATATTTTTCAACCTAAAACGTTTTTTATGAAAAACTTTTTTGTAAAAAATATTTTCGTATCTTTGGTTACATCCTTGAAACTAATATATTAGTAGGGGTGGCATAGTGGCATCGGTAGCGATGGTGGTGGTGTTAGTGATGGCAATGGCAATGGTAACATTTTTGAGCTAAAAACTTACCAATGCCAACACACTATACTACAGCTGCCACCGCCATTGCCACCACTACGTGGCGGTGATAGCTATGGTATAGTGTGTTGGTATTGGCAAATTTTAGTTAAGAAACATTATAAACGTTTTAAAGTGAAAAATATTTTTACCTAAATAATCTTGTTTTCTATTGATTATAGAAAACATTTGTCGTTCATTTTCATTTTCCGTGTACAAAACACCTGAAAATGCAAAATTATTTTTCAAAAAATGTTTTTAACTAAACAAACGGAGCGGAACTTTATGTAAGTTTCTTTAGTTCTACAATGAAAAATGCAGCAAGTATTGTGGATTTTGACATAGCTTGAAATAATACACTCGATGTGACGGTTGTCCTGGCAACATAGGAATTTTAGCAGACGTCTCGTGCATTAAGTCCCGTGTTTTCCATCCTAATTTTAATTAAGGTAAGTTATAATATGCAGATGTTAACTCAATCCACAGAGCGATTTAAGAGCATTCAAAAGGAAGCTCCAATTGAGTACCGGAAATTTCTTGTCCAAGTGACAACATATCAAGCAGCAGAACACTGTAAGGTAATGTTCAATTAATGCATTCGTTATTCACATATCCTTGTTCTTTGCTGAAGATTCAAAAAGAACTAGGAATACCACAATATTAGCACATTAATACTTAATAGTAATCGACACTATTTTTTTTTTTTTCCTGTAAAATTTTATAGATTTGGATCATTGGTAAATGGACTACACCGCGAGAGCAATGGTGGGCTCCGGCAGGGACACATTTCTATCAATTTGTGGTTCCACCCATCATTCCCATGAGAAGAGACTGTACTTATGGAAAACTTGCAGCCTTGAGGCTCCCTGATGATGTTGAGGAGCTTGGTTCTTGCGAGGTATATCTACCACCGCTACATTCTTCTCCTTTGATTTCAAGTTTCATTTTAATTTCTAACAAATTCATAAAAGAATCAAGCCCTTTGATTTCTAACAAATGCCATACTTGCAATGATCTTCGCTAGATCATTGAAAATTGCCGCTTTTTTTTTTTTTTTTTTGAAGATTTTTCACAAGAACTACCATAACTCAAGTACTTTCCAAGATGAAAAAGGGAAATGATTCAAAATTATGATTTTTTTTTTCCGTTTTGATTTGGATTGGAACAGTATAAACTCGAAAGAGGTGTTGTTCACGCATGCCACGCCGGTGGGGTTGTTCACCTTCTGGAGGGTTGGACCCACCATGAGGTCGGAGCGATCGATGTTGATCAGATTGATGTTGTATGGAATGCGGCATTGAAACACGGGTTTAAGCCATTGTAGGAGCTCTATGCAGAAGTCTTCCCTTATATATATATTTTCTGCAAAGGAAAGAAATCGCATATTTATGTTTTTTTTCTTTTTTTACTATTTGTCAAATTGTCATGTGTCATTTTTTGGATTAAAAGTCCAAAAATTTGAATAATTCAAGCAAAACACTATGTCATAAGAAGCGGTAAAGAAGTCCAAATCCGCACACCATCAGACATGGCCAAGTGATCTATTACACGAATATGTATATGAATATATATATCCAAGTTATATTGTCTCTGTGATTTGCAGACCATAAAGCTAGTTGAAGATACATAATCTTTCTTGAATGCCTTTCACTAAATCTATTTTTGAAATTCACCTCACTAATTAAGCCTTGAAATTGAATCTAATGGAGATGATATTTGAATCAAAGAACAAACTCACCAATGCTATTGCCACAAGAAAATCTCAAGAACACATCATTACATAAATCGCGATATAATACAACATAGGAAGAACTAACGAATAAGTCTAATAATACAGAAATCAGTCACAGAACCAGATATAATATAATAGTCGGACAAGGGTTTTTAGAAGTGTCTCTAAAACTTCTTCGGGTTTTTGTGTTCGTAGCAGAACTATTAGGAGCTGAGTTGAAGGAACCTTTGAGCCATAGGGTGCTTGGCTTCTGAGAGTTGGTCAGGTTTTAAGACTTCAACAACCTCACCATTGACAAGGAGGGCTACTACATCAGCAATCCTCTGGATTTGTTTGATGCTGTGAGAGACCATGACAATAGTCATTCCTTTATTCTTCTTCAGCTTCACAAGAACATCCTCTATGTTTTGTGTTGAAATTGGATCCAAAGCACTTGTTGGCTCATCCAATAGCAAAACCTTCACAGAAAAGAGAAAGACTAATTTCAATGGCTGAAACTTTCATCATATGTTTGAAAACAGCCTCCCATTGATAGACAGTTTGCTTGTGTTTTCACCAGTTGTTTTCTGCTTTTATTTCAAAAAACACAAAAAGCTTGTTTGGCGAATTTTTTTGAAAACTTCTTGAGAAAATTTTCCTAAAAGGCCCACTTTTAGGAAATATTAGAAAGTAATGGGTTAATCACACTTAACACTTTCGTATTTTCACTAAAATTTTACTCCTCTAGTTTCAATCGTGACAGTCAATCTCCTTGCAACCTTGTTTGGAAATATGCTATTTCATTAACTTTTTAGTTTTTTTACTAAAATATGAGGTAACAAAAAACTAGTATATTTGGAATGATCTTTTGATTTTTACAAAAAAATAAATGTGCAAAAAATTAGAGAGAAAAAAGAATTTTTGACTCTTTTATATAGTTTGTTGGCTTTTGACATTTTTCGTGAATTTTTGCCTTTTAGGCTAAAATTTTAACTTCTCAAACAAGCTATTTTTAGTTCTCATAGAATGAGTCTTGTGTCATTTTGGTCTCTAATATTTAAATTGTGTCAATTTAGTCCCCCAATGCATAGAAGGTGTTTAAATTTTTGGGATCAAAATGATATAAGACTCATAATTTTTTGGTACAAAAAAATGCAATTAACCCATTTTACATACTAGAGAAGTTAAGTGTGTTATGGGGGTGAGCTTACCTCTGGTTCATTAGCAAGGGTTCTAGCCAGAGCAACTCTTTGAGCTTGACCAACAGACAATTCACCACCAGGTTTATTGAAAAAGGTAGAATCAAGGTCAGCAAGGGTGAGCAACTTGTACACCTCATTGTCACTCAGCTTCTTTCCTCTCAGCTGTGGTCCATACCTCACATTGTCTGCTACTGTCCCTGTAGATATATGATCAACAATTCCAAGGTATGGTGAGTTGAGTGAAAATATGTCTTAACCAAGTCCATTTTTTTAAGGTGGATGAGCCAGTCATATCACACACATTTTATTTATTTGTATATTTTTCAACATTTGAGGAAGTTAGAGTTGTTAAGTTTGTTAGTAAAGTTAGTGTACAGAAATATACCACTTAAATGAACTGTCGTTGATCTATCAGCTCAAATCCTTGATCTCTCCTCACTGCATCCTGAGGTGCAGCTACTTCTACCACACGATATGTACAATGTATTGTGTGATTGAAATCTATTTTAAGTGTGATGTAAATTATATTTAAAATAAAATTTACTCATACAATATATGTTCGGTGCATTATGTGTTTTAATTTTGTATTCCTTATATTGTTGATCGTGTGGTAGTGTAAGAGTTTAAAACAAAAGAATAAAGCAGATTTGAAAAGAAGGCTTCCTATCAAAAATTGTATTTAAGATAACAATACGGCCACGCATTGCCTTGCTACTAGAGGGGCACCACATATTTTATAGATCAGACATATCAGATAAAAGAAAATACAATTTATTATATTTTTTATAAACAAATTAATTAATAGACTATTTTATATTATTTATTTGTATAATTAAAGACATTTCAATAGACTTTTTATTCCAAAAAGATAGACTCAGCCAGATGTAATTTGGTTAAGTGTCCAAGTGTGATTCTTTCATTAAGGACCTTTTAATTGTCCATGTGGCTAACAAATTAATGATAAAATTAATTTAATTATATCAAAATTATAAATTTACTTATATTTAAGGCATTTTCATTAAGGGAAATGATTTGGAGCCCTAAAAACTTCCCCCCTAATCCCCCTAATTTCCAATTTTGGCAACTTTTTCCATTTTTTTTTTTTTTTTTACTTGATATGAAAATTAGGGGGATTAGGGGGATGTTTTTAGGGGGATGTAGCATGACCCTTTAATTAAATAATGAAAATCATTTTGACTCGTTTATCTATGAACCTGAGTATTTTGATACATTCAACAATAAAAATGTATTACTTTTACCCTTTCTGAACCATCTTAGAAAAAGATATCAAAGTAATATTTTACTAATAATTAAAAGGTGTAATTAATTCTATTTTTTAAAATTAATTTACCCTTAATATTTTAAAATTTTTGGAGGGTGTGGGGGTTCCAAACCCTGATGATGTAATGAGCACGGGTGAAATTGCCCTGCTACTTGCCCATCCAGCTCATTTATTAACTTTTGTATTTCTTTCAGATGGTGATATATATTTATTTAATATAAAATAAAAGAGAGGGATGATGCTATAAGTGTGTATTATATGATATTCGTGAAATTGATTATCATGTATATTATAATTTAATTTTATAAAAATTATAATTAAAAAAAATTAAATTACAATCAAATATTATATAAAATATAATTAAAAAAATTTAAATGATAAATAAATCAACATCATTAAAAATTCCAATAAAAATCATAATATGTATAATTAAATCATAATTAATATTCAAATAAATTAACTAAACACTTCAAATATTGTGCCGAAAGAACATATAATACGAGAGAGACGGTGATATATGATGTTGACCAGGCGAAATAGTTACAGAGAAAACGCTCTGTTCATTAAAAATAACTAAAAATAAAGATTATACATAATTAATCACAAAAATAGTATGCTAAACGAATAATCACTCATTGGTTATGACATAGAAAGTGTTTGGAGTACACTATAAAAGTGCATTTATTTATCTTTTTGTATTTTTAAATCATATCGTCTCTTTGTTTTTTTTACATATATTTTTATAAAAAGTCAAAAAGTACACTTATTTAAATCATTCTTAAATAACTCCTTAGTCTCATCAGTGTGTTTGGTTTGAGTTCTTTGAATTAAGTTTTTTGAAAACTGAGTTTTTTAGTTTTCGTGTTTTTTTGTTTTAATGAATATTTTTAAAATTTTAAACATTAAATTTACATTTTTAGATGCACCTAAGTCAAAAAGTACACTTATTTAAATCATTCTTAAATAACTCCTTAGTCTCATCAGTGTGTTTGGTTTGAGTTCTTTGAATTAAGTTTTTTGAAAACTGAGTTTTTTAGTTTTCGTGTTTTTTTGTTTTAATGAATATTTTTAAAATTTTAAACATTTTTTTTACATTTTTAGATGCACCTTACTTAGATGTATCTAAAAAGTAAAAATTTGTGAAAAAATATTTTTAAAAATTAATAAATACATAAAAATATTTAAAAAAATGTACTGAATTCTCGTTTTTTTTTATATTTTTGGTATTTAGTGAATTTTTCAAAAGTTTTTTTCAATTTTTTTTTACTTTTTAAGTATATTTATGTTAGGTATGCCTAAAAATTAAAAAAATTACTTAAAATATTAAAAAAATTCAGTAAAAACAAAAAATACGAAAAATAAAAAAGTAAAATTTTTTGAAAAGTATTTTTAAAAAATGATACTCAAGCATAGTCATTGAATTTTGACCTATTATGATTCCTTATAATATTTTGTGCCATAAACACTATAAATTATCATAACTTACCCATATTTCTTTTTTTTAAACTATTCTTTTTTTTAAACTATATATAGTAGAAGGATCCCTATTGAGATCCACATATTTTTGAGCCTCCGTTTGGGAAGTGGGTTGGCTTTTTGACTTTTTGGCTTTTTTGGCTATTTTAGCCTGGGCTAAAAAGCTTGGTTTGGGAAGGGCTTTTTGGCTTTTTTAACTTTTTTTGTGAGAGAAGAGTGTAATGATTATGAGTTGGATGTGATATTTTGTTTGTTGTGACTAAAATAGCCTATTTTGTCTTTTGTGACTATTTTAGCCCAACCCAACTTGCCAAACAAAGGCTGAATAGGTTAATCATAAATAGCTTATTGATCAAAAAAATATAATTTTTTAACAATTTCAACTATTAAAAATCGTACGAAAACTGTACAACTACTGTCAATTTTATATTGTCATTCATTGTTATTATTATTAGGAGTTGTAAAGTCAAGTTTGACATACTTAAAAAATAAAAATTAAAAATTAAAAAGTTACTTTTTATTTAAATTATATCATCTTATTTAAGTCACATCACTTTTCTAATACATCATTTTAAATTTAACCTAGACCTAATTCATATTTCATAAAATATTAAAAAATACACTTGTTTAAATCATCCCAACAATTCTTAAATTAGCGTGTCACACTATGCTTATTTATTTTTAAATAAAAATGGTGTACTTGTGTAAACCACGTTCCGTAGCCTTTTGACAAAAACCTCCTAGGCCTACTCAAAATTTTCAGCCCAGTTAACCATGTACTCAGTTGTACCACCACAACAATAATTTTACTTTAATAATAATCTAATACTATTATTAAAATAATAATAATAATAATAATTTAATACTGTAAATATTTATATATATACACGTCATATTGGTTAGTGAGTCCAAAAATTCATCCTTGTACTGGTTCACCAAATTTGCCCTACCCACTTTTTAAAACTTTTTCTCCTGATGATAAGGCTGCAAAAAGTATTGACCTTAGAAAGATATAGATTGCGTTTGATTCTCTTTTTTAAATTATGATTTTAATTTTAAAAAATTAAAATTTATAATCAAATTCATAATTTAAAATTACTTAAAATTCAATTTAAAAATTATTTTCAAAACTTATAACTCAACATACAATTCAAAAGTCTTTTCAAAATTCAAAATCAAACTCCTTTTAAAACTCTATTTTTTTAAAAAAAATCAATTTATTTTATTTTATTTTTTAAAATTATTTTTAGAATCATAATTTGAATGTGGAATTATATTTTGAATTTTGAGTTTTAAGTTAAGTCTTGAAAAAAAGAAAATTTGTTTGGTTATTAGTTTTGAAAAAAAAAAATTGAGTTATATTTTGAGTTTTGTGTTGTATTTTGAAATTTTTTGAATTTATTTTTTTTAAATATTTAACAAATTTCTTAATATTATTTTTTAGGGTAAATATTTTATATTTTAATATCTATTTATTTATTTTAATGTGTGCTATATTTCATACATTTGTGTGTTGTATTTTTTAAAAAATATTTTAAATATATTTTTTAAGTATTAAAAATTTTATTTTTATTTTAAATCGAACCCAATGGTGGTAGTTTTGTCTTTGTTTTTTTTTTTTTGTAATGGTCTTATGTGACCTTGAATTGTTTTGGTTAAAAAGATAAAGAAAATGCCTGGATCTAATATTTGACTATTAGGCGCTATGACGCTAAAATAACATTGCATGCTCTTAGAAAAAACATTTGAAACAGCCTTCAACTGAGTGCTCTTTTGGCTAAGATTTTGAGATTAAAAAGGTGCAAAAAGACAAAATAATCTCTATGAGTTAATAAGATAAAGTATTACTTTTTATCCACAATCATTACATTTTCTCTCTAATAAAAATTTTAAAAAATCAAAAATAAAAACCAAACGAGACTAAAAAAAATCAGGCTTAAAAAGTTTCAAACTAAAAAAAATAGCTATATTAATCAGTGTCAAGCAACCCCTAAAAGATGCTTATACCTGGAATTGACATAGGTGGATAGGTATAGAATACCTAATGGCACAAGACAACTCTCTCTAAGAAATTCAATAAAATAATCTCATAAGAACATCCTAGCAGAACCCTTAAATCATATCTTTACTTAAGTTAAGTTTGGCTAAATTAAAAAAGTGCACTTATTTCATCTTTTTATCTTTTTTGGGTCACATCAATCAACATCTCCTCTCTACTTTTTCTACACATAATACAAGAAAAATCAAAAAATACCCTTATTTAATCTTCCCAAACTTGACCCTAGCTATCACTTTTATTAAAATGTAAGGCTCACATGAAGCTTTGTGCCAAAAAAAAAAAAAAAAAAAAAAAAGAGTTCACATGTGCTAGCAGCACCTTCAAATTCTCATTTGGGAATCTTTCATGTTCTATGTTCTAATCCATCCATCTTTCTTTCTTTTTCAGATAGGATGTCATATGAAAAAGTGCAGTGATAGAGTCTAATAATTGTTTGAAACTTTTTAATTTTTATTTTTATTTAAAAAATCATTATAAATTATTAAATTATTTTTCATATATTCTTTTATAAAAATTAAAAAATTATTGAAAAACTCAATTTCCAAACACCACACAACACAACACACTTGATAAGAGAAATCAGCGTTCCAACTATTTGGTCTTAGCAATTTATCCATTTTACAATGGGTTTTTGTAATTTGAATGATAAGAAAAGTTTTGACTTGAAAAAAACATAAGGGATCAGGAGAGAAGTTTCTTGGCCCAAAACACAAAAATTTGACACCTAACACATAGGCTCCGTTTGGCAAGAGCTAAACGGAGCTATTTTAGCCACAAAAGATAAAATAGGCTATTTTAGTCACAAAAAATAAAATATCATATCCAATCCATAATCATTACATTATTCTCTCACAAAAAAAGCCAAAAAAATCAAAAAATCAGAAAGCCCTTCTCAAATCAAATTTTTTAGCCCAAACTAAAATAGTCAAAAAAGTCAAAAAATCACTTCCCAAACAGAGGCATAGATATGTAACTGTTGTTTGAATATTAATAAAAACACTAACTGGATCCCAACAAAAATATTAACTAACACACAAGATGTGAATATGAGATCCACCACTTAATGCGTGACCAATCTAACATTATGGGTCGTTTTGGAAACTTCATAAAAAGTTAGTTTTTTAGTATTTTTTAGCCAAAAAAAGTTACAAAAAGCAAAAAAAGCAAAAAAATCAGTTTTTAACCAATTTTTCAAAACACTCTCGTATCTAATTGATATGTTTGTTAGTTTAATTACCATTATGTCAATTAATTAAATGGCTTCCAAAATATATTAACCAAGTTTAAGTGAACTTAATTATTCTTGTTTGTGAATAGACTAAAGTAACTAAAAAGTCATCAACTTATCACATCACTCTCTTTATTTTTTTTACATATTTTTTTATAAAAATTTAAAAAATTAATCATAATAGTCAATTTCTAAACGAACTAGTCAAAAAATTAACTGCCAAACCAGACTTCAGAGAATAGAACAAAGTCTAACAAGTTGACAAATTTCATGTCCGTTGTATGTACCGCAAAGGAAACAGATTCTCTTCAGTCTACGTAGTGGACTAGACTATATTGTTCAGATCCATAGGGCTCACCAAAGGTCTTATTTTGATGATCCAAACCATTAATATGTAGAGCTTGTTGAGTGTTTCATTCCTGTAAAAAATCATGTTGATCGGATATCGATTGCTACTTGATCAAAACTGATTTCTGTTAGTACTTTATTTAAAAAATTATATTTACGGTTGATAGAAATATAATTTGATCAAGTAACTATCAATATCCGATTAACGTGATGTTTTGCAATGATAAAATAATCGGCGAATTCTATATATTCAACGGTCCGGATTATCGAAACAGGACGCATGGTGGGCTCTCACAAACCCAACAACGAGCTTCAATCTGATTTCGAATTGGAAAAAAGCCTAATCCTATTGGCAAATGACAGCCTAATAATCATATTTTAGAGGATGAGAGAAAAAAAAAATAGAATAATTCAAAGAGTAAATATATAATACATTTATACATAGGATAGGATTACCTTCAAATAGAGCCGGAAGTTGAAATAACATTCCAACCTTACGGCGAAGGGCAAGGACGTCCATACTACAAATGTCCTCGGCATCCAAAAATACTGCCCCTTGGGGTGGCTCCCAAAGGCGGTTCAAGGCCCGGAGCATGGTGGATTTGCCGCTACCGCTAGGGCCAATAATCCCCATGATAATACCTCTGGGTATGTCCACATTAACCTTGCTTAGTATCAAGTCTCCCTTGTCAGATTCCCTCACCAAATCTCTTATCCTAATCTTCATCATCTCCGATTTTCCATTGCATGCATTTTCAACATCATCCGGTACGTCCACCACCACTAGCGGCTCTCTTAAACTATCTGCACCACTCCCAACGTCACCATCACAACAAAACATTATTGGAGAAATAAGAAATAAGACTTTATATATAAAACTACTTATCAAAAAAGAAAAAACAATCAAGCATAAAATCGAACATAATCTTCTCAGTGGACCCATAAAAAACGTAGGCCTCACGATGGGCCAAACAACTAAGTTGATTTTACTTTTAGAGTTGTATTCAGTTCTATGATCAGTTTGTATATTCTTAAAAATGTTCTAAGCATTTATACACTTAAAAAAAAAAAAGTCTAGAATAAAAATTAATCACATAATTAATTACAAAATGTATTTAATTTTCTGTTTGATTTCTATGTGGTAAAAAAAATAAAAAAATAAAATCAATGCAGCTTGGTTGACCTAATAAGAGAAATTTCAACAACAATGATATTGGTGGTACCTTGGAATGTCTCCATAATAAATGAATCCAAGCTTGAGAAACCAGGCAATAGGAGAGAGAGAGAGAGAGAGAGATGTGGGAAAAATGAAGGGGGTGATACCTATATTTAAGGAGAGGAGATAAAACCTTCCCCCATTAACACAAGGCTAGAACAACTTTTGCCTACCCACAAAAAAATATTGTATCAATTTGTCTGTGTCTCAGTTAGCACCAACAAATAAAGTATAGAGAACATGGCTTCTTTTCTCACTCGTTTTTATTGTGTGGACCTGTTGTACTAGAAAGGACCTTCAGTGAATTACGGTCGAAATGATAATATCAAAATTAATTTTTGACAGTCTATATTATTAAAATATTATAATTTGACAATTATATTATATTGGTGTTTTCAATTGTTTATTTTCTTCGTAATATGCTAAATAAAAAAAATAAAAAAATAAAAAAAAAAGAGACTATTTGCCAATGCCTTTATGAACTTTGTGCCAAACTTGACATAATACTAATAATGCTGTAATTTGTTAAGAGTTGAGGCATACTATTGAAGAATAGATTTTTATAAGACTTATCAAATTTTCTAGATTCTGGAGAATTATGGTGTAGTTGAGGCCAAATCTCAAAAGTTTCCTTTTAATATTTAAATAATATTTACTAGTTTTAAAAATAAAATTATTTATTTATTTTTTGCATATCTATTTTGCAAATATGATGATTAATGCCTTTTTATTAGAGCATTTGAATAATGAGTTTTATTTTTTTGGACTTGAAAAATAATTTTTTTTTTTTTTTTTTTTAATTTTTTTTTTTTTTTGTAAATTTGTACTTTTAATACACATGTTATACAAGTTAAAAAAAAATATACATTCAGTATAAAAGTATATGTAAAAAATATATAATTTAAAATCATTCAACATAAAAGTATATGTAAAAAAATATATATAATTTTTTTAACATTCTTAACATATATTTTAGAAACACACTTTAATAAAACTCTTTAAGAAAACTCTAGTTTTATGCTTTGCTCAAAATAATATTTTTTTGTGCCTCTAGCAACGAGAGCTATAGATGAGGACAATTTTTATTTTATTTTATTTTATTTTATTGGTTATAGACCAATTACATGATATACGCGTTTGCATGACTAAGGTGATACGTAAATGATATGCATATTTATAGAGAAGGTGATGTATCATTTATTTAGGATATAACTTGTGGAGTAATCGAAGTCAATGATAGAACTCAACCCTCCTTATCTAGGTACATCTTATTTGGGGGAGTATTGGAGGTAATAATAATTGAAACAAATATACTCGTTTTTTGGAGGAAAGTGAAAGGTCATTTCTACATTAGGTAAGCTGTGAGGTTTTGTCGGAGGATTTTTTTTTAAATCAAATTGATTGAATATTTATAGTTCAGTAACAAGTTTTGCATTTGTTTTTTTTTTTTAAAAAAATAAAATAAACGGTTAACATAGTTTTGATAAAAAAAAAAATTTAAAAACAATTAGAGTCGATATCATGAGGATATAGATGTTCAATTAACTTGAATTTTTTTTAGATGATATACTCGACGAATTTTACAATATGAACAGTTCAAATTATCGAAAAAAGCTCGGGACAAACCATAGGGCCTCACAGCTGCATGTTGTGACCTAAAGTCACGACAAGAACCCCATGTCCGATAACTATTCAGTAATTCTGAAACATTATGTAATATTATTTATTTATTGTTCTAAATTTAATTTATGGTGTAACGAAAAAATTTATAAATAGAATATATTGACTGAGCTTTGTTAAGTAATTGGGCAACCAAAGATTACCCACTTAGTGGAAGAAATTATTTAGTGATTCCAAGAGTGATGCTATATTCAATTTAGGGGTTGTTTGGGATGATTTAAATAAGTGTACAGAACTCAACCCTCCTTATCTAGGTACATCTTATTTGGGGGAGTATTGGAGGTAATAATAATTGAAACAAATATACTCGTTTTTTGGAGGAAAGTGAAAGGTCATTTCTACATTAGGTAAGCTGTGAGGTTTTGTCGGAGGATTTTTTTTAAAATCAAATTAATTGAATATTTATAGTTCAGTAACAAGTTTTGCATTTGTTTTTTTTTTAAAAAAATAAAATAAACGGTTAACATAGTTTTGATAAAAAAAAATTTAAAAACAATTAGAGTCAATATCATGAGGATATAGATGTTCAATTAACTTGAATTTTTTTTAGATGATATACACGACGAATTTTATAATATGAACAGTTTAAATTATCGAAAAAAGTTCGGGACAAACCATAGGGCCTCACAGCAGCATGTTGTGACCTAAAGTCACGACAAGAACCCCATGTCCGCTAACTATTCAGTAATTCTGGAACATTATGTAATATTATTTCTTTATTGTTCTAAATTTAATTTATGGCGTAACGAAAAAATTTATAAGTAGAATATATTGGCTCAGCTTTGTTAAGTAATTGAGCAACCAAAGATTACCCACTTAGTGGAAGAAATTATTTAGGGATTCCAAGAGTGATGCTATATTCAATTTAATAATTGACACATTTTATATTACTTTTAAAACTTTAATATAAAAGTGATGGGTTTTATAGTTTAGACCAATAGCTATTAATTTTGAGTAGTTTCGATTAATTTGGAACACCACCTACCTGGACTACTTAGGCTCAATTTGGTGATTAGGTGGGATATGAGAAAAGAAATGATAGTAGTTTTAAAGAAAAAGAAAAAAAATTGTGATTTTTTACTATCATGTTTGAATAAATATTACTTACCCAAAATAATGTTTGAATAAATAATAAATAAATAAAAAAAGACCGGTGTCTTTTTATTTTCTTTATTTTGCATTTAGAGATATAATTTAGGTAGGGTAAATTATACAAATAATCCCTGTAATTTGCACAATGTGTCAATTTGGCCTATGTTGTTTCAATTCGCTTGATTTTGCCTCTTAATTTAACGGATTGTGTCATTTTAGTCCAATAAATAACAGTTGTTAAGTTTGGTAAATGAAAAATCAAATTATGTGTCAATTTGATCCTTGTAGTTTACACAAAGTGTCAACTTGGTCCATTTCAAAATCGAGCAAATTAAAATAATAAGGACCAAATTAACATATTGTGTAAATTGCAGGGACCAATTGACATATTGTGTAGACTTTCCGTCCACCAAACTTAACAACCGTTATTTATTAGACTAAAATGACACAATCTGTTAAATTAAGAGAACAAAATCGAGCAAATTGAAATAATAGGAATCAAATTGACACATCATGTAAACTACAGGACCATTACATAATTTACCCATTTAGGTATTATAAATTTTTACAAAAACTTTGGTTTCTCATCAAATCTCACTATTTTTTGTGAGAAAATAAAACAAAAAATTTTAATAATTTATCTTTCTGACTGTTGCTCAAATCTTTAACCATCTAAACAAGTGATAAGAAACATTTTTCACTCCATTTCTTTTATTTTCTCATCAAACCTTCAATATAACAAATTAAGATTTTAGAGATAAAAATTTAAAAACAAAATCACTTTTCAGTTGCCAAAAGTGTCGTTGCATATTTAATAACAAAATTGGACATTTAGTAATGAATTATTATCATTTTGAGACTGAACTTTGTGTCAAAGTAAACCCTTTCGACACAAAATTAATTTTTGGACAAATTGTAGTGATAGCCCCTGTAGTTTAATTGTTTTATCATTTTGGTTCTCGTTCTTTCAATCTGATCTATTTTGTCCTTGAATTTTACGGATTGTGTCATATTAGTCTAATAAATAACGACGGTTGAGTTTGATGGACGAAAATCAAATGATGTGTCAATTTGGTCTCTGTAGTTTACAGAATGTGTCGATTTAGTCCCTGTTGTTTTGACTTTCCTATAAACTACAGGGATCAAATTAAGACATTCTATAAACTATAGAGACCAAATTGGCACATCATTTAATTTTCCGTTCATCAAACTTAACCGCTATTATTTATTGGACTAATATGACACAATCCATAAAATTCAGGGGCAAAATTGATCAAATTGAAATAACGGGGACCAAAATGATAAAACTGGTAAATTACAAGGACCGTGTACATAATTTATCTTTTTATTTTCTTCTTAAAAGTATATTTATTAGTAATATTTTTTAAAATTTTGTCGCTACTTTTTTTTTTTTTTAAACTTTTTGAAGATGACATTTTCATGACAACTAGATGGAATTGGTCTCCTAATTTCACTTTTGGAAACGAAAAAGTTTAGTCTGCAAAAACATAGTATGTTGTAGGGCTTTAACCCAAGCAATTTGTAAATATGTGCTGTAATTTTCGATTTGCCGAGAACAACATATAAATAATAATTTTCCTAGCTCAATACCTATTTGATAAACATATTTTTTGTCTTAAAATATTAGTTCCTTATTTTATTTTTTATTATTCCAAAATATTAATCTCTTTCAAAAATTAAGGACTAAAACAACATAAATTTTCTATCTTACCTTTTAAATTCATTAACATTAATATTTTTGAAGTGTAATAATTGTACTATTAAAAGGTAGTTTTGAAAAATTAATATTTTTAAAATGTAATAATTGTACTATAAAAAATAATTGAATTAACTAAAAGGGACTAATATTTTAAAACGGAGAGAGTAATAATATTACAAATAAAATATAATTTTTTTAAAATGTTTTAAAAAAACAAAAACAAAGGATAAGATTTCTCTAACCAATAAGAAAAGAAAAACCAAGAGAGATTGAGAGAACCAAAACGTTTAAATCGATGTAGGGGTAAGGGCAATCAAATGAGACGTTGGGATCTTGCTTCCTTGATCACACATATCATATCTACAAACATATCTATACTTCTCTCCTACCTTCCCTATAAAAAATATGGGTAACTTACGTGCCATTTTTAATAGGTAAATTTATTATTTAATAAGTTGTGTAAGAATTAATAACATTTTTTATCAAATATTATTAAAAACGTCACTAATTATTAATTTTTAGCGATAGTTTGAAAATTTTGTCACAAAAATGTCATTAATTATAAGTTTTAACGACAGTTTAAAAAAATTATCACAAAAAAAGTAATTAATTCTCAACTTTTAGCGATAGTTTGAAAATTCGTCACAGAAAAACGTTATTAATTAAAGTTTTAGC